CTGGAGCAGCCGAAGCTGCAGCAGGGCCGTGGGCGCAGCGAGGCCCCACGGCGTGTTGTGAAGGGAGGGGGGGTCTGTCGACCTTGGGCTTTTGGGTTGAATCTAGAAGAATTTCGTTCGTTTTTCGTTATTTTTTTTAAACAACGTCTTTGCCTCATTGAATAAATGTTCTTATTTTAACAGTCCTTACTGGCTCTAACAGTGAACAGAGTGAAACAATATGTTAATATCACACCTGACTTCCCACTTACTGAGGGCTTCACAGTCTGCAGGTAAACATGTTGTGTAACCTAATTTTTCTTATTTTTTTTTTCCTGGAGCAGTAAGACATCAAGAAGGTTCTTTTCCAGCAGTGCAAGAGTGGTGAAGCTGTCGTTGATTCAGTCGTTGTCAAAAGTTACTACATCTCTGATCTGTTCCGTAACAGAACAGCGTAGCTCCGATTCGATCTCTTTTAAGCTTAGGAGGAGATTTCTTAGCAGGAGAAAGACTTAATAGAGCAAGCGGTTCCTAACCATTCCAAATTGCACTTACACAGTTTACACAGTAAAATATTATATAATGTATTTTTAGCAGAGTACGTTACAGCATCATAATTAAATTAAAATAAAAAAAATCTGTTTGTTTTTGTGTTGGCAATCTAATTTTTGTAAGCAGCTTCCTTTCTTAGATTGTTCTGGCCACGGTTGTCTGGTGGCTTGAGAGCTGGGTAGATCTTTTCTTAAAAATACTGGCTGAAAATTCTGTCTCTTAAATGAATTTTTTTTTTCTTCTCAAAGGCCGCTTTTTGCCAAGGCCAGTGTCTTCGTTTCTTTGCTATCATTCTGCACCTGCACACTATAGCACCCAGCCATCTAACAAGAACGGAGCCCAGCCTCAGCGGTGGTATGCGCTGGACCCGGAGCTGGAAGAGATGCTGATCCCCAGAAAACTTTCCATCAGCCCCTTGGAAAGCTGGTTGACAGTTAGATACTCCCTCCCTAAAGCAGAAGCCCTTCACGCTCAGGAGGAAGAGGGCTATAAACCTCTCCAGCGATATGACTGTCCCCCGTCGGATGAGGGAGGTGATGTGGAGGAAGGAGAAGGACCACTTAGCAACAAGATTCAGTGTAAGAACGTTCTGCAGATTCGCAGAAGGAAAATTAATCGGCACAAGTACAAGAAGCTGCTAAAGCGAAGGAAGTTTATACGGAGGAGGGTAAAGGAAGGTCGCAAAAAGAAACGTCAGGTAAGCTCAGGGCAGAGAGAGCTTTGTGGTGGAAGTGTGCGGGCTTCTCTTTGGGTGCTTGGGGATGTTTTTAAGTGGAATCAGTCTGGGGAAAAATGGCAGCAGCTTGAAGAGATTTAATGAATTCAGTATTTACTGTTAGTTGATGAGGAAGTCCGCTTACAACTTTGTCTTCCACCTCCTCAGTTTTCCTCACTCAAGACTTTTAAAATAATGCTACTGAGATCCTTGTGCGTTTTAATGTGTTTTCTGCATTAAGGCTAATTGTTTTGACACTTGGAACAGGCTGCCTCCGTAAAACCATGTTTCCTTTGTGTGCGTTACACCTGTGTTCTCCCTGGGACATGAGGGCAGTGGCCAATACTTGAGTGTTCCTTCTGGACTATGTTACTATTTTTTCTTTTTTCCTTTTTTTGTTTTAGATAAAATTTGAGAAAGATTTGGAGCGCATCTGGAAAAGAGCTGGTTTGAAAAACCCTCCTGCGGGATGGCAAACACCCAAGATATTTCTGAAAAGTTCCAGGCGATAAAAACAGTTGTAATGAGTTTTAACCTGCAATTGTAATTAAAAAATATTTCAGTATGTGGATTACTTTTCACCTTTTCTGAGTGTGATGAGATTGGTAGGAGAAAACGTTCAGTCTTGGTGAGCAGTTTTCCAAAGACAAAGCTGATGGGAATATGCGTCTCCTCCTCTACAGAAATGGTGTGAGCCCTTGTGCAGTGCCGGGGAAGTGCTGCTGCCTCCAACTTTATGTCTGAGCAGAGGGTCTTGGACTGCAGCTGAATTTCTGAAGCTGCTGTTTAAGTTCAGGCTGGCAGTCGGTTGGGGGAGATGGGATAACTGAAAGGATTCTTCTGATGGCACGCGTGACTATAGAAGACACAAGCATTTTGAAAACTTCTTCCCCAGATTGCTTTCTTTCATAGTAACTATTGAAGGGCTGATTTTTAATGGTGAAATAGGAATTGGCTGAGAATGACACAGAATATATGTGCAAATGCTTTAGTTTTTCACTTATCTGAAGCCATGATGTGTGTGTGTGCCCCAGGCATTGCATGAGCGTCCTTAAAAGGCATATTTGTGTTTTTTTGGTCTGCGTTGTGCTAATAAAAGAAAGTTATTTTTTTTCTACAGCTGACCCCCATCATTTAGAACATCCAGATATTGGTATAAGTTCAGAGCTAATTATTCCTTAACTACCAAACATTTTGTGCCTGAGACAGCCCTCTTGTAATGAGCTGATTTCACGTGACTGAAGAGTTGTGAAGGCTGTGAAAAATACAGATGTTTAAAATAACCCCTGACAGCAGACTTTATATCTGGGTTCCGTTTTGGGTTCTGCTTTTGATTTTTCTGTTTGAGGCAGGTAGCTTCTGCTCTGTGGGATTTAGCTTCTTCCTGTCTGGATTCCAGCAGGCAGATGGGTGGATCTCTGAGAGAAAGGAGGGAAGAAGGACGAGCTCCTTTAGGCTCGTCATTCTGCAGCGTCCAGGGAAGCCACCCTGGAAATACATGACTTGCTCGAAGCAGAACCCTAAACTGGAAAGGAATTAAAAAATAATTTGCAGGTCTCATTGCTGCGAGGTGGGGTTTAGTTAAGATGAAAGGACCTGTGAATCCTTGCAGAGAGTGAACCAGGTTCCGTGTCTCTGCTCTTGGCAGTAGATGGCAGTAACTGCAAACCTCTGAAACTCGGCTGTTCGGGTAGAAGCTGGCTGGATCTTTATGTTGGTGTTTTCAGAGGGGATACACCCCCGTTTTAAAATTGATGACCCTTGCTAGAGAACTGCCGGCACTCTGAGAACTCAACTGAAGTCCTGTAGAAACGTGGTCAGCACATTTTGATAGTTCTTTTTTCCAAACCGTGTGTTAGCAGTATGCAACTTGGATCAAAAAAAATTTAAAAAAATGTTTTGTCCTTTTTGTCCTTTAAATAGGTAGCAGTTACTTTTAACCAAGACCAGTAGGACTCTCATTCAGCGAGTTTTCAGGATTTCAACAAAGATGAGGATGTCTAGCCACGAGCCTTAGAAACTCACCAAGCAAGAGAAGATTGAGTGTTGAGTCTGGCTTACAGGTCTGTTCAATATGCAGAGTGCAGCTTGGCATTTCTAAAATACCAGAATGCATTCCCTGCCCGAAGCTGCATAGATGAAAGGCTGGGGCCGGAGAGGATTAGCACCTTTGAAGCCAGATCCGTGTCCAGATGAAATCTGCACCTGTTTTTCTCTAGGGGGAGCACGAGTACCTGATCTAGTCACAAAGCCTTGGTTTGAGTTGTTGTTCCTCTCCAAAATGTGTGCACAGCCATGCACCTGCATACTTAGTAAATGTGTATGTGTGTGTTCATCGGTAGCTGTGGTAGGAAAAAAAAAAAAGGTTGCAAATAGGAAAGGTTTGACTTACAATTCTCAAAATATTTAACACTTTACATTGAAGGAAAAGATGTGAATTGAGACTGTTTCTACACATGCAGAGGGTTTTGAGTATCATGAAATCCTAAAGCACAAGTAGCCTGGAAAAAGGAGTTATGTTGGCATTACCCAGACAGACAGATTTCGTTAGGCTGGTGGACTCACTTCGGAGTACCTGGAATGAAGGAGTTTGTTCACTGTGTTTTGGCTGTGGTTTCCTGGGAGCAGGCGCGTGTGTGCTGAAGTGCGAGGACGGGCTGTGGGATGCTCAGTAAACCTGACTGTGCACAACTGGCAGCAAATGTGAAGAGAAACATTCTTCGTGTTCCTGTTGTGTTGGCGCCTGAGAGGTAGTGTGCCTCAGAACCTGAGGTTTTTATCATGTGTTTTTCTTGTGGTGGTGTTCTGGTTTGGTGTGTAATTTTTTTGGCTTGAGGTTTTTGGTTTATTGTTGGGTTTTTGTGGTTTTTTTGTGTTGTTTGATTTTTTTGTTGTGTGGTGGATTTTCTGGTTATGGATTTTTTTAACATCAGAGGAGGAGAGCATGGCTGATGCCTTCTCTTTTGCTGCAGGAGGATCTTTGTGCATACCCTAACTCTGGCACCGGAAGCTCAAGTTCTTCTAATGTCTGTATGGTGGGAACTGTTGTTCTTTCTTCCATTAGTGAACTCCGGATCAGTCTCCAAAGCAGTACATGCTGGCTCACGTGGGGAATGTCTGTGAACATCAGGTGTACAAAACACACCTTTCAGGCAGTTAGTAGGGCCTTGCTGCTTCTGTCACCTGTCATTCCTGAGCACAAACAATGTGTACCTTTACTCTGGTGAGCTAATACCCGTATAAAATGGGACGCTTTCATATTACAAATTGCCAAAATGTTACCTAGGGTACGTTGGTGTATGTACATTGGCTTCAGTAGCTCTGACTTAGTCCTTTCCAAACTGCGAAGCTAGCTCTGCTTCAGTGGGTGTGTATTCCAAAGTTAATAAACGTGCTTGTTTACACTAGCTGAAAATCTAGCTGGAGTGATCTGACTGATCTTGCAAACAGCACCTGTGGATAACTAAAATTACATCTTTTCTTTTCACCATTCATGCTGTTCTGCTGTTGGCATTTCTGTTCTGACTGTGAAAACATCCTGGTTTGGGTTCACTTGGGCTGAGCCTGATCAGTTACTCTCCAAAAATAACAGTGCTCTGTACTTAACCTGGAGCGTTGCGTTTGCAGAACTGAAATGGTTTTGAAAAGTGGGTTCTGCTTTTCCTACTGATTTTTTTTCCCCTTTAAATTTAAAAATCAGTAGGAAAAGCAGAACCCACTTTTCAAAACCATTTCAGTTCTGCAAAGGTAGCTCTTGTAGACATCTGAGCTAGCTTTAAGCAGAGTGTGCTGGCTTTCCTGTGGAAATATCCATTCTTGTTTGCCTTTCCCTCTAAAACTTGAACAAGGAGCTCTGTGAGTCAGAGAATTTAAGAAAACCATCCGATATATCACTCTTGACAATTCCCTAAAATAAGACTGAACTTATTAGTCTTTCCCCACTGCATGAGCACTGATGCATCTTCCCTCTGTTGTGCTAGTTACAAAAGTTGTAAGAGCTATAAAACTATGATACTTGTCTCATACTCTCAAATGTAGCTGAAACTGGCTGTGGTGTTCTAAAGTAATGAGAAAGAGGAGGCCAAATGGACAGGGGGATCATATAACTGCATATGCCTTGTTTCCTTAGGAAATGCAGCTGAAATTTGGTTTAAAGTAGATAAATGATGTGACAATTTAGTCAAAAATGACTTTTTTCACTTATTCGGTAAACAAGACTTTGGTGCTGCTCAGACAGGTCTTGTGCTGAGGGACTGTCCTTGCCTTTGGTATGTCTAGGTCTGGGGAAAATACTCCTGGAGCTTCTCAGCAGCTGCAAGCACTTCAGAGCCCCGTAACCGTTTGCAAAAGGATTGTGTTAAAACAAGGATTTGGAGTCCTGAGCAAGGAGTCATCACATCAGGTAAAAAAATAATAACTTGAAATTTGTCACGTCTATTTTAAGGGAATTAACAATTCGTGGCAGGATGCTTCTGGCTGAGTTTTATCACCAGCCAGTGAGGAACTGGTTAAGTTTGAAGAATAAGCAGTCATAGAATAAAGTGCCAAATGCAAAAAAAAAAAAAAAGCCCAAACAGTAGATGAAACTACAGCAGCTGTAGTCAGCAATGTGACTGTGTAAACAGCACCATGTTACTCAGCAGCTCCCTTCTGTGGGTGCTTTTGAGTCAGAGCCTTTTCCTCCCCTGACAAAGCAGCGAGTTCATAGTGGAACAGCCAGCTGGAGCCTGTTCAGCAGCAGAGTCAGCAGGTACGTCCTGAAGGCAGAATCTGTGACCGGTCACCCAGGCTTAGCAGGCCCTGCCTTGGCTTCCCTGACCGCTCATATTGTTTCCATTACTGTCCAGAGGATGCTGCTGCCCAGGATCTTTTCTGTCGCACTCCCTAGATCTGAATGGGCGTCCTCCAGAGAACTAATTGTTCAGTCTTTATGATGTGGCATCCTGCCATCTGCAAGAAGTTCTGCTGCAGGCCCATCAGAAGGTAGGACAGAGAGAAATGTGTCCTACTTTCTGATAACATTGTCCCTCCCCGGGGAAGGGAAGAGGGTTGTAGCCCTCGGTAAGACAGGAAAAGCTTTCTCTCACAAGTAATTTATGCAAGAACCTGGGACTGTAAAAGGAAAGCGAATGGAAAATAACAATCTTGATATCTTTGTCTTGGGTGCAACACCTTCTCCTTGAGAGATTTCTAATTATGGAACGGAGCTGGGGAGAGGGAAAGTGAGCAGATAAAAATACACATATGCAGGTTCATACGTAGCATGTAGTGTGACAGGGTAGGGATTAGGGCTGCTAGTTCAAGTAACTTAAACATTTTCACGTTGTACTGACAGTTCTTAAGACGTTTGGCAAGATAATAAAAATTTTTGTTTCTCATTTTCCTCTCACCATCAGGTGGCTGGTACAAAGTTGAATTTAGTACTGTAGCATAATACTCAGATCTCTGGATAGAAGGAACAATGCTGGTCCAAACAAGTAGGTTTACATGAAGAAATCTATAGAACACTTTGATTTCTACAGGAGGCAAAGCAAGCAGCGTTGCTTTCTTTAGCTAACGCTATGGTT